AGTTTGGACTGTGGGCTGAGGGCTGAGGTCTGTGGGCAAGCCCAGAGGAACTGTGCACTCCTCTTTGTTGGAACTCTGGCCCATCTAAGCAGAGTGGCTTAAGAGGTGCCATGCCTTTGCCAGCTGTCATAGGATTTCTTTTTACGCTTTAAAAATAGTTTTATTTGTGTGTAGTATGTAGGCCCTATGTGTGTGTGGTGCCTTTAGAAGCCAGAGATGATGTTGGGTGCCCCAGAGCTGGCATTATTTGAGGTTGTGAGTTGCCCATATGGGTGCTGGGAACTCAGCTCAGGTTCTCTGGAAAAGCAGCAAACACTCAACCACTGAGCCATATGTCCACATCCACTGAGATGTCTGTCCACATCCACTGAGATGTCTGTCCACATCCACTGAACCATCTGTCCACATCCACTGAGCCATCTGTCCACATCCACTGAGATGTCTGTCCACATCCACTGAGCCATCTGTCCACATCCACTGAGATGTCTGTCCACATCCACTGAGCCATCTGTCCACATCCACTGAGCCATCTGTCCACATCCACTGAGATGTCTGTCCACATCCACTGGGCCATCTGTCCATATCCACTGAGCCATCTCCCCAGCTCAGTCACAGGCTTTCCATCCCCTCCCCCAAAACAGCTTACTGGGTGGCCAGATGGTCATTCAGATTTCAAACATGAGGAATGAAATACAAAATTTATATTGATTAATTCAGTCTTATGCTCTTATGAGGATTTTGAGTGACATGTTATCTCTATAAACTACCTTTATATCTGTGATCTGTGATTGTTCCCATGTTGAGTATTTTATATGAGGTCAGAGATAAAAAATGTTCAAGGAAAAAATAAAAATCATCAAAATGCACAGTTATGTCTGGGAAACAGCACTAAAGAATTCATTTCCTGTTTCACACTGTTGATCTTTATAGCTTTGGTAAAATATATTATTTTAATATTCCAGGAACTAATGTCCATACCCATGCCAACTCAACTTAGTTCATAGTGAATAAAAATGCAGAAAAAAATATATGAGGAAATGCATGGGAACCCCATATTGAAGGAGCCCAGCAGTCTTTACCCTGAATTTTATGTTTTCATGATTTTCCATAACAACATTTTTGTTTCAATACTTTATTTTTGTCTTTAGTAAACTGTGAAAGCTGTCCTATATGGTTGTGTTCTTGACTGCTAGTAGATAGTCTACTGGGTCAGAGATAATTTCTGTGCTTTTGGTTGACAAGACTCTTTTGAAGACATGCTTATTGATTTCCATGACCATATTTAGTGGAATGATCATGTGACCTCTATTCCCTGAGGTTAACTATCCTTGTCACAAACCTGAGTTAGTATGGTATAATTTTGCATTAATTTTCATATTCAATAGGCTAATACTTTATTTAGGGTTTTCTCTGCATCCTTGAAGATGGTGGTACACGGGTTTCCTCTTGTATCTCTTGTATCTATTTTTCTAGTTTGGATACCAGATATTTTCAGACTTGTTCTCAAAAAGTTTTCAGTAGAATTCTTTGTTCCTAAGCTAACTGAGATACACATATAACCTCAGTGGTCAGGAGATGGAAACAGGAACACTAGAATGTTAAGACCAGTGTAAGTGATGGGAGACCTTATTCCCTGAAAAACAACCAAAAAAGAATTATCTGTTACCTCAAAGTTCATACCATGACCCTTAGAAATGTCTGAAACAGGTCACTGATGGGATGATAGGAAATGTGAATAGTATGATCTTTCTTCTTCCTCACTGAGGTGAACAACTTCATGATTTTCATTACATTTCGATGTTCATTTAATCTACAGCAGCATGCCTTACAGATTGAGAACCATTGACTTAGAACCAGGAGGCAGAATTCCACAGTGTCAAAAGCCCCAGGTGTTCTGCAGGCTGCTGCTGCCTGTAACTCCTCTGTGTATGCCCAACACTGTCACCATCTGCATTAACTCTATCGTGAGCAGCCACACCTCTTCTCAAACAACATTCATTCTTCAGATTCCAACCCCAAGTATTCTACCTCAAGCTCTGTGTGCCCAAAGAACCACTCCAAAGAATTCAGACCCAAGTACTTCAAAATTAAAACATAAAATATATGTACTATAAAATATGTTTTTCCTAACCAACACACACCCCACATCCACTTTGAGCAGTAGAATTTGATGAGTACCACTTAGTAAGGGGTGTAATAGACCGGCTAGAGATGGCTTTTCTGAATCATTTTGGCTCCTTACTACCGTGGTGGTAGCATATCTTTTTATATCACTTTATTTTATTAAACAATGTACTGCTCAGTTTTGAATTCATATAAATACAAGAAAAAGTCTTGCCATGGTATCTGTGATATTTATCTGTTGTTTGTGTTTTCAATACTGTGTTCATAAGATAGTTCTGTATTAATAGACAGGATTTCTTTTATTTTGAATTTAATTGATGGAAGTCTAGTTAGTTGCTACTATAGTACTCTCTTGTGCCTGAATTGCAATCTCTAAGACTTACTTATGAACACAAGAACACACCTGTATTATGTGCATATGTGTCTACCGATGTGTTTACATTCATATATTATAAATACCTCTGAAGTAAATATTGTGTATGTATATTATTACAGAAGAATAAGTTGCTTTGTAAATTATTTGAATTTTGAATTTTGTTTGTTTCTTTGGCTAGGAACCAAAACCCAGGACCATATTAGCCAGGGAAATTTTAGTTCCTGTGCATGCAGAGGTTTTCACAGGCAGTCTTGGGTGAGGGCTCAGTTGTAATGACAGATTTAAGGGAATACATTTTGCTTCTACTTAGAGCCAAGACTAAGACAAACATGTTTCTTTGACATTCTCCCATTGAGGGCCTTCCTTTAAGATGATGAAATTACTGATGTTTAATTTGGAAAATCTTAGCTATTAATTAGATTTCCCCATGAGAAAGCAACCAGCTGACTGTCATAAATATCAACTCAGGTCCATTTCTTAACAGCATTATAATTCTGCTTGTTATTTTGAAACCAACTAATACTTCATAAGCATCCTTGACACATCCTGGTCTTGACACATTTCTGTAGACATTGTCACATAATGCAGGCTGCTTACAAATTGATTTACACTGAAGTTACTCTTACTCTACTAATAATTATGTTTTAAGTGAACATGTAAGATGCTAAGTAAATAAAGTAAACACATAAAGACCTTATCAGAACATGTAACAATTACAATAATATAAGTGCTTTTATTTTGTGGGTTTTGATCTTTATTAGTTATTTGAATCTATGGTAATGTAGTTTATTTCATTTAAAACTTCAAGTTCTGGAATAAATAGATAAACACATCAGAAGAAACATGCATACGTGTTAAAAATAATTTATTCTGTGAGAAATTATATCTCTTCAAGATATACTTATATCTCTTCAAGATATGATATTTAGTCACTGGAAAAAGGTAAATTGATAAGCCTGACAACATAAAAAAATAATTTTTGCTAAGTAAAGAAGAAAATCAATTAATACATTTTATCTGTAAATATAACAAATTGCTATTTGTTTGAAAATGAACAAATTGAAGAAACTAGGTTGGTACTTCCCATAAGTTACATCCTTAGTGCCTAGCTTTCATCATACTACTGTGCTGGCTTCTCTGGGGAAAGGTCACCAACAGTTCCATCTAGCGAGAGCTCTATGAACTACAGACAGTGTGACAAGACATACCCTTGGATGCAAGAGGGACATGAATGTTATGTCAACCACTTTCCAACTGGATTTAAAAACCTGATCCTGAGGATGCAACACATGCCCAATATCCCAAATCTATCCAATAATGTGTGGTCGGCAAGGTCACAGTCCCAAGGGTGAGCCTACTACTATTATTTTGCCCCCATCTAGGAAGCAGTATTAAATTATCCTCAAAGGCCATAGTCTCTAACCATAGATTAGTGCAGCTCTCTCACCTCATCTGAGAAATTTCTTTGTGTAGTAGACAGTGTTTAATACAGACACTCACACTTGGTCCAATTGCAGAGAATAGGCTAAGTAGAGTGTTCAGCAACAAACCAGATATCACAGCTCCTCCCAATGAGGAGGGACAGATGCAATGGAGGAAGGTGCAGAAAGGCCTAAGAGACAGAGGTTAGGGAGGACCTGAGTAAAACAGTGTCTTCTGGACATGGCAGGACCACAGCCCTCACCATGTCACAACAATGAGGATACCTGCATAAGACTCACCCAAGAGCAAGCCCATCACCATACTAGTGTGGGCAGGATGCAGTTCATGATGCTGGTAGCTTCTGGCTGTTTTCTTTATGGATATGCTTCCTGGGAGGTTGACCACACCCTGGGGGATGACTCCACTCCTAGAAGTAAACGTATAACGCAAATTGAATTCAAATAAAAGAGGACATAAACTTGGGGGGATAGGGAGGTGGGAACAAATCTGGTGGAAGTCAAGGGGAGGACTTGGGGATGAATATGACCAAAATAAATTGTATGGATTCTCAAATAATCAAATTAATTTCTAAATTCAAAATGGAAAAATTGTAAAATTTAAAAGACTGTGTCAAATTGACAGTTAATGCTAACTAGAAACTATTATTTTTATTATAAACTTTCTATTGATATAAAGAAAAGTAATTATGAGTGTGACTTTTACTTTTGCATTTGAAATTACCTAAGGGGAAATAAGCTTTCTACGTGTGAAGAAGGGTTCCCGACAGCAGTATGGTAGAGCAGGTGCAATCAGAGTCCTGTGCTTGCTGGACCTCACATGGCCCATCTGTTCTCACGAATGTTTTACTTTGGTGTTTAAGTAACAATGCAGCTAGTATAATGATGGAAAACAAGGAAACTATGCTGAACTAAGGTTAAAATACGTGTCATCGGGATTCATCAGGACCTTTAAGTGTTTGAAAACACATAAAACACGGTAGGCTCTCGCTCATGACCTGTCAGAGCTCAGCATCCTTGGGATGAACTGGTGCTTTCTCTGATGTCTTATTTCCCTGCAGACAGAGCCAAAGGAAGATCCAGAGCGGGGGCCCACTTTGACTCAGCCCGGAGACGGAGCCGAGCTGTCCTTTATCACATCTCGGGACACCTGCAAAGAAGAGAGAAGAACAAATTGAAAATAAACAATGTAGGTGGTGTGTGTTCATTGTGGACACCAGTTTCCCTGGAGAGCAATGTGTGGTATGCCAAGGAAAGGTTCCAATTACTCATTTATCAAATTTTTTTAGTTTAGTTTTCTTTTTACCACTTTGGCTTGCATTTACCCATAAAGAACAAACTCGGAACAGTCAGTGTCACAAGGTATTTCTATGAAACGTGTGCAATCATAGTGTTATCACAGCGCAGAGATTGCAGTGCTGTGGGAGTCAGTGCACAGTGCGTCCAGGAGGGCACCCAGACGTGCAGTCAGTGAACCGACACCTGAGAGACGCTATGGTTTGAGAAACAGGACGATGCAGCACATCACGTTTACAGTTAGTTAGTGACTAATTCATACACTGAGTATCAGAGTCAGTGTTACTCTTGATCTCATGCTCCTTTGTGCCTTTACCCAGGGGAACCATGGACCAGTGCATGTCATCACTCCATTTAAGGCCTCACTTCTGTACAAAAGAGATGGGACTTTCAGACAATGCAGCTTTGCATTGGAATTCCAAGCTATGCTGATTAGGTTATATAACAAGTTTCACTTTTACTGAATTACAGTAAGGGCTGCTTCGAGAACCAGTGTGCCACCTCTTGAAAGCCATTGTGCCAGTAAAAGCTGCTTGGTTTGTTTTCAAAGGGTTTTAATCACACATCATACCCTCAAGAAATTTACACATAACTTGTATTAACACAAGGAACCTTCACCTGTGTGGAGAAGAGCAAAACAATGTCTTCTGTTTGTAGACTTTCAAACACAGCTTTTCAGGGTGGAGTGGTCAGACTCTGCAGATTTGGGGGGTGACTATGGGTGGAGAATTGAACAGCTGGTCTAATTTGCCAGTGGAATCATAAACAACCATATCCAGAAAGCAGAGCTCCTTCGGTATTTTGAGATGGGTCACAACCCTACTTTATAGCCAGCCCTGCAGTGACCCTGACTTATAGCCAATGTCTTGATGAAACAGCCTTGCTTCAGGTGTACAAAGTGTCGATTTCTGTGCTTATAGCAAACAAAGAAAGGTGTATACACCCAGGGTATGGGGAGCTATCTGAATATGCTACAAATGTGGTTTGGTTTTAATGTGATTCCTTCTGGAAGTCACAGTCAGTGTTCTGGTCCACTCGTGCTCCTGGGGTCACCCAATGAGCCTTAGCTGTTCTGCCATTCACTCCTGTGCAAAGTGCAGCATAGCCGATGGTGGGTGAAAGGATCTTTTGTTTTGTTTTTGGTGTGGTTGTTGTTCTAAGTTTCCATGGTAGTTTTCTGTCTTGTTTTGTCTTTTCGGTGTGTGAGAGCACTGCTCAAGAGCATCACTGATATGCACATATACGGAGATTTGTTTATGCTGGAAGTCCACACTGTCTTCTTGCTTTAGCTGAGAAGCATTTACTTAAGATTCACTGAAACACTGAAAGTCTCAGTGAGATTAAACTGCATTTGTTGAGCCTTGCTACTTTCCCCTCTAGATTTAATAACCTATAAAGCATTTTTTGAAAATCTGTATGACAAAAGTTATAACTCGCACTCCTTAGTGGCTTGCTTAATTGCTGCTGTTCAGTTCAGAAGTATAACCCTCAGAGGGGAGGGGAGTAACTAAGAATGCCTAGTCGGCTCAGAGTCAGTGACAGCACAGGTGTCCTGACTTCAGAAGCCAGGTGTGGAGTGAGTCACTGTGCAGGATAGAGAGCAGCTAACGGCCAGACAGCAGGAAGAGAGGAGGAAGGACAGAAAGGTCCCACACTTACTGGAAAAGCAATCTTAGAGGAACTCCAGCTGCCGTAACCCATGTACACAAAAAGAACCACTAGTATTTTATCATGCTAGCTATTTAAAATTGCCTTCCTTACATTTTGTTATTCAATTCTCACAGCAAGCTAGTACTGCTTAAGGTTTTTATTAGCTCCATCTTAACAAAAGGGGGAAAAAACCCAACCTTTTTGGGTTTTCATTAAAATCTGTAAAAGGAGAAAAATCAGCTAAGGGGATCAGACCTTAATTTTTTCTGCCTCAAATCGCTGTCTTGTTCTTGAGCAGCTTTTCCCCATAGATGATCCTATACAGTATTCACAGGCGAAAGATCTCCTTAGGCCTATGTCCAGATGATGGGAGGTAAAGCCTTTAACTTAGACTCTAAGTTTGCCTGGAAACTGCTGGAGAAAGACTTTCCTTCCTCTTGATTTTGATTCTTGATGAAATGAGGAGAGGATGAAGCTAGTCTATCCAGCAGAAACAAATATTGTACAGGTTGAAGAAGACCGTCCCTCAGGAGTTTGAGAGTAATGCTAGCCATGCACAGGAAGCCTCACTCATTAGTGATATCATCAAAGACAGGCCCTGCATCAGGTGTGCCCACTGTAGCAACTGTGAGAGTATTTTCTGCCCCCTTGTGCATTCAGAGGTGAGTTTCAAGGGAATATCACAAAATACTTTAGAAAACAAACATCTTAGTAAGGCTTTGGAGTTAACTAGTGCATTTGGATAATTCATAGGATAAAAATTAACCAACTAAAGCATTATTGGTTCTAGAGCATGCACCTCAAAATTAAGTAGTAACAGATGCTCAAAATCTATATTTTTTTGTTTAAAACCTTGTCTTAGTCCTTGGACATGCTCCATATATTTGAGGGTTTAAACACTGTGACATTCCTTCCCTGTTTTCATAGATTGCACATTTTATGCACAGGCATATTTTTTAAACTTGTAAGAATTTGCTTGATTCAAAGGATTTGTTAAAGACTTTCATGTAGTAAGCCTTTTGCCACCCAGTTAACTATGTGATGATGTGTGCAGGATTGAATTATTGACCCTTCCAAAGCTAAGTCAAACCTGAAATGTATTGAATCCGAAGTATAATTTTAAATACCATGCTGTAACAATAATTTGACTATAACTTTAACTTACACACTTGAGGTAGTCTCTGAAATTGGCACCATGCAGTTCACATTGAAAGATGCTCACACATTGCTCACCCGAATCCCAGGTCAGAGATCTTTGGGTAATGACTGTCTCAGTATCACAGAGTTAAATGGAATCTTTGTGACCCAAAGCAGACATCTTCCTAAGAGGGCACAATCCTCACTCTAGGCCTCTTCTCTCACACTAGGTACAATCTGAGGCACTCCAACAAAATGGCAAAGACAGTAGCTATTTGGATAGAAGCATAAAGTACTCCCGGTGAATCCTGATAATTTCCTCTTATAAATGTTTAGGGATAAAGTCATAACTCAATCTATTGCGTCAAGGGCTAGAAAGATGGCTCATCAATTAAGAACACTTACTATTCTTAAAGAGAAGCAGGGTTTGGTTCCCAGTCCTCACACAGTGGATCAAAACTGCTTGTAACTCCTTCTCTAGGGAATTTGATGCCTCCTTCTCGCCTCTATAAGCACCAGATATGCATGTAATGTACAGGCACACATGCAGATAAAAAAAAAGACATACACATAAAACAAAATAAGTAAACTTTAAAAGATTTATTATATTCTATAATAACTTCAAAGTACCTTATCAAACTTGGGGAGATGAATATTTGTGTACCCCAAGTCTCTCTTCTGATCTCTTGAATGAGCTTTAACACCCCCCAACACACACAAGCACATTCCACAGACATACAAAGTAATTCATTGTCTTGGTTTTATGGCAAACCTTTGGAACTTTTCCTCAATGATCAGGTAGGTAGTTTGATGGAATACATTAAGTGGCGCCAACCAACTATCTGGAAGTGAAGCAATGGCCCACCACGGAGCATGAGCATGGCATGCCTGTGTGACAAGGGGCGGAACCAATAACTTCAAGTTCTATCTCTATTGATGTCCTTGGAATCCTCTCATCCGAAGCTTCCTGAACACACAATATTTATCTGCCCTCCCTTTGGACTGAGACAAGGCAAGAACACTGTGGCCTACAAGTGCCATATATTCAGAACTTTCTTCTGTTCGTTCAAGTTAAATTTCAAATCTAAGTTCTCATTACCTTTCTTGCATTTCTCATTAATTAAGGTCAGGGCAGAGTCTATAAATGCCTGGCCACAGGCTTGTGGAATTTCCACACATGTTATTGTTGAGCCTCCTTTTGTCTCCTACCAACAGGGATGTTCATCCATTCCGACTGCTTTTAAAGCAAAGTGCCTTGACAGCCATCAAAAGCTCTAGCTAGTCTCTGTTAATCAGCTGTGCGGTGAACATTACTTTCCTCCTGCAGGACTTGAAAAATAACCCCCAAATAGCTGCTTCTCTCCTTCTTAGTGGGTGGTATATTTCTGAGCATATCCATATTGGTCAAAGTAATGAGGTCTGAGTTCTGATTAGAAGCATCACCAATACCCACAATGCACACGAGCATGTGCCACCCTGTGTATTTTGACAGGAATATTTGCAGAATGGTGGTCATCTCTACCTTTTGGAAGAGGGGTCATCTTTTCTGACATCACCAGAATCCCAGGTCAGAGATCTTTGGGTAATGACTGCGACCTGAAATCCACCCATGTGCAGACTGCGCTCATATTAGTGAACACACAGTATGCTTTTTGTGTTACTTTATGTATAGGATGACACTCGCAGCTGGATGCTTTTAGATGACATTTAAGATAAGTTTTGTTTTTTTATTTATTATCATTTTTATTTTAATTTTAAATAGCTTGTTTTACATGTCAATCCCAGTTCCCTCTCCCTCCCCTCCTCCCGCACTCCCCTTTTCCCCCACCCTCCCACCCTATTGCCAAATCCTTCCACATAAGGGATATCTAGAGTCTGTCATTTTACTCTGGGTAGGGTCCAGGCACTCCCCTAAGAGTCCAGGCTGAGAGAGCATCCCTCTTTGTGCTATAGGCACACAAAGACTGTTTGTATATCGGGATAGACACTGATCCACAGCTCAGGGCCCCATAGGTCGCCCAGGCCTTCTCGCTGACACTCACATTTTGGGGGTCCAGATCAGTCCCATGCTGGCCTCCCCACTGTCGGTCTGGGGTCCAAGAGCTCTCCCCTGTTCAGATCAGCTGTCTCTGCTGGTTTTGCCAGCCAAGAACACAATCTAGATTACTGTCTCAACAGTTACTAAAAATCTCCAGAGTGCTGGGCACATAACAGAGAGCACTGTTTAGTTTTAGTTCAGTAACAAGCAGGACACATTCTAAGAAGTGTATTATTATGGTAATTTTGTTTTTGTAGGAATCCCATAGAGGGTGTTAGTAACAATCTACGCAGTGCTGGTCTGGGCTGGAGATGACTCTGAGTGTAAGATGACTCAGAGCACACACTGCTCCCACAGAGGGGCTGAGCTCGGTCTCTATTGCCCATGTCGAGTGTCGCATAAATGCCCGTAATTCCGAAGAGATCTAACACACTCTTTTGACCTCCTTGGGCATCTGTATTTATGTGTACAAACTAATAGGCTTGCTGCTCAATCACTCACTGTGCCAATAAGCAGTGAGTTCAGCAGATTAAGTGTGAGCCTGAAGATTGTATACTCAATGCTGACAGTGAACTTTTAAATACATAGGAACACACTCTGAAACAAAGTAGGATGAATGTATTATAAACATATAAACCAGGAATACCTGTTTATTACTATGACTGATATTGTCTACTATGCATATCTATGGTGTACTTGTACCTGACTAAGACCCAGTATATTCCTATACAGCGACATCACGACAGTTTACAGTGTTACAATAGCCTGTATCTTCCCTAGGTGATGGGACTTTTACCTCACTTGGAATCTTGTGGGACCAGCAACACAATGAAGCCAGTAGTTGAGTGAATCACAGTTGGGTGGCATGGGACAGTAGACTCAGTTTTACAAGTCACTTGTAAGGTATTTGATGTTGAGTGCATGGATTGTCCTGCATTTAGAGCTGCTCAGTCTCCATTTCTAATCGTATGCTTCTTGGCTCCCTCTCTTCTGTGTCTTTACCCACAGAACGTGTTTGTAGATAAACCAGCATTCCCAGAGTATAAGGTTTCTGACGCAAAAAAGTCCAAGTTCATCCTGCTGCACTTCAGCACTTTCAAAGCTGGCTGGGACTGGCTCATTTTGCTGGCAACATTTTATGTTGCCGTGACAGTACCTTACAACGTGTGTTTCATTGGCAATGAAGACCTGTCCACAACTCGGAGTACAACAGTCAGTGACATTGCAGTGGAGATTCTTTTCATTATAGGTAAGACCCAGTAACTTCTCATCTTAAATATTTGCATGTAAAAGCAGGCATGTTCCAGAATTTTCTGTGGAAAATTTGAACTGAGACTCATTTGATGGAGTGTGTCTCGGCCTGTGATGCAAATTTTGTAGACTCATATACTTTATTCCTGAAAATTGCTTCTTCCAGTTTTCCTGCTGTTTCTATGTTGAAACATCAAAGTCCAAATCCCATGTTTCTATCTTTATTTTATATTAAAAATGGGTCAAAGGGAGATGTGGCATCTGTTGTTTGGTCTCTGGTACCCTTAGCAATATTAACTATGCAATGCCATAGATGAGTTTAGCATTCAGACAAGGGTTCAGGATATCCTGGGGATGTGGCTCTTCATGGTATTTAGGATGGACTCAGGAAGTGAGATGCCTACAGAAGCAAAGAGAAATCAGGGGGCTTAGTTACCTATGATAATCAAGAGAGGCAGTATCTGATTTTAGCTAAAGAGACCCCAAGGAAGTTTGCTCCCAGTGTTCATCTCTAGAACCCTGGGGATCTCAGTACACCAACATTGGTTTGACTGTGTAGAACTTTTTCTGTGACTGAATGTTAGCGTGTGTTTGTTCTAGACAGCTGTGCCTGCCTTCCCCATGAATCCTGCTCCATTTTTATCACTACAATGGTGAGCCCTGCCTGCACACCCCAAAAGCAGTCACTGTAGTGTGGTAGACCACTAGATGGCAACTGTGTCTAGTTGGGTACCTGGGTAAAGCTATAAAATCAATTAAAAATTTTTTCAATTAAATGCATTCATTTTGAGGAAATTATAAGGATAAAGTGATCTGTTTGATCATGATGAAACAGAATATTGCATCATTAACAGTTTGAATTTAGAATGAAGTCCCAGGTTCATTGGATGTGCCTATTTCCCAATCCACTTGGTTTAATCTTCTGTTAGTTTGGTGTTTCCTTCTATGAATTCATGACTAACACAGTGCTGCCATCATCATCCTGGTACCATTCTCATATCCAGGTCAAAGTTCTGAAGGACTAGCACTTTCATTGCATATCTGAGCCTAGTTTCCTTCCAGGTATTAAGTTGACAAATCTCATCGAGCACCAGGTGTCTGTTAAACACACATGCCACCAGCTTTCCAGTGTTGCTATTTATGGTTCATTCATCAGAGCAAAGCTATTTCTTGTACTTTCTTCACCATGGTTTCCTGGTATATGAGATTTAAAAACTCATGGGGTCGGGAATCCATTTGTCACTGTGTGCTCTCAGGCAAAGGGTGGCATGTCTGCCCATAATAACTCACACTCCAAGAAAGATTTATTTGTTTGGGGTATTTGATGGACACTGGTTTGTTCCTCTGACTCTGTTACAGTATCCAGCACCCAACCACCACTAACGAATCTCTGCTGTTTTTACCCAGCTGTGTTTATGCAATGATTGCCTTACAGATGGAGAGGTGACTGTGCCAGCACTGTGAAACTCTGCCTGGAATCGCACACTGACAGAGTTTCACAGGCAGTAGGGATTTGCTTGCAATTCTCTGCTGTTGCTACCCTGTTCTTTTAAATGAGTTTAAGCACATGTATAACTTGTAAAACATTTGAAGACGGTTTATAGTAAAGTTTCTCTTGTTATGTTTACCCCACCTTTTGGCATGTGCATCTTTTCACAAAGGTACCCAAAAGTGGTTAGTTATAAATAAGTGTTAACACTTGGAGTAAGAGCAGGTCATGGCACCACACACCTGTATTCTAGCATTCCAAGGCAGAGGCAGGAAGGCCCAGAGTGGAGGGCCAGAGGGAGATGACTACACAGTAAGACTCTACAAAAAAAGTACATTCTACCTGCAGTACTGTATCTTCACAATATAAGTATTTGTACCACTTAACTTTTGTCAGTTTCTGTGGTGTGGTGAAAATGCATATTTAAAATACAATTGGTGTTCCACTTCTTTTTCACTTTTTGTTTTTGTGGTACTGACGATCTGCCTGGAGGCTTCTCACCACTGAGCTGTGCCTTCAGTCCACACAGATCCACTAAAGAGGGTTTGAGAAGCACAGGTTTCATTGTGCCTGAACCATGTCTTTTTTTTCTTTCTAATATTTTGTTGTTTGCACTAGCTCTAGTGTTAGACAATATATGTACTTTTCAAATGGGGAGTAACTAAATATTGCATGCAGAAAAGTGTCTTAGTCAGAATTAAAGGTGGGAGATGATAAATTGATTTGGGGAATTCATAAATACGTTTTAGCATTCTAAATCCTCAAAGAAATCCTGTACTGAAGCACCATATTTAAACGTGATTCATAAGCATCTCTCTGGATTTACTTTTCCCCAGAACCCATCCTCTACACACCAGTTAGCAATGCTCTTTTGGCATAATTAAAACATGCCATCTCCAGCTGGATTCAGCAGAAGGAAAACGTCTGACTACAGAGTTAGTCAAGGAAACCTGAAGCTCCTAGCCTTCTCCTCAGTCTCACTGCATAAGTCACATTAGCTCAGGAGGGCAGCATCTCTCACTGTAAATCCCTGTATTTCTGGAAGGCACACAGGAAGTTGAACCTTCTCTTTTTCACTTTCTGTAAAGAGAGGCCTTCCTGCCAGGCTGGTTCCAGAGCCGCATCAGTCCCAAATAAACACACAGGAGGCTATATTAATTATGAAGCTGTTGGCCTTGCTTGTTTCTTACTGGCTAGCTCTGACTTGAGTATTTATCCCATAATTGTTAATCTAAGTATTTCTATTACCAGAGAACTTTCCAGGCTTCCTACCCCATGGCGGTTACATCTTGACTTCCTGTGTTTCTCCTACCCAGAGTCCTCCTCAACTCCTAGTCCCACCTATCTTGCTTCCCTATTGGCCAACAGTGCTTTATTGACATATACACAGGACTTCCCCCATCAACTTTCTGTCCCGTTCTTTTTTTTTAATTTATTTTGGAAACAAGCTTGTTTTACATGTCAATCTCAGTTTCTTCTCCCTCCCCTCCTCCCCTGCCTTCCACCGTCCCCCTATCCCATCCCCTTTTCTGCTCCCCAGGGAGGGTGAGGCCTTCCACTGGGGATCTTCAAAGTCTGTCATACCATTTGTAGCAGAGCCTAGGCTCTACCCTGTGTGTCCAGGCTGAGAAAGTAACCCTTCATGGGGAATGACATCCCAAAGTCCATTTGTGTACTAGGGATAAATACTGATTCACTACCAGAGGCCCCATAAATTGCCCAGACCTCCAAACTGGCATCCACGATCAAGGGGTCTGGGTCAGTCTTATGCTGGTTTCCCAGCTATCAGTCTGGGGTCTATGAACTCCCCCTTGTTCCTGTGGCTCTCTCCAACAGAACTTTCTATGGTCTTGACCCCTTTGCTTATCATTCCCCCCTCTCTGCAACTGGATTCTGGGAGTTCAGCTCAGTGTTTAGCTGTGGGTGTCTGCCTCTGCTTCCATCAGCCACTGGATGAAGGATCTAGGATTCTGCCCCATTCTTAAAAACAAAGGAACCAAGTTGAGTGGAGTTTTTAAAGACAGACTCACACTGACTAAACCTGCCATAGCACCAGAGACTTGCTACTGCTGTTTCATATTTCTTTGGTTTGTTACCTTACTATGAAGTAATTGCATTCAGTTAGTAAACTGCTGCTAAGTCATTTACTTAGATTTATGTAGCATTTGAATCAGTAGCAGTTTAAGAATGATAATTATCATACAATGGGGATTTTATTTCCAAACTTGTTAAGTCAGCCATACTTTGAACATTACAGACTCTTTCATACAAACTGACTCATCATGTGTCTACTCCATTCCCATTCTAAAAATCCCAAAAAGCCCAAAGGTGTGCATGCTGCAGTGTGCACAAACCTGGGAACAAGATGTCTCAGTCAGTGCTAGCTTTGTTATCCTTTGCTGGGTCTGGTGTAGGCACAGGGATGTTATCAGTTAATATAATAGGCTCAGTGTTGTAGGCTACTTTGTAAGGCTATAACACCCAACTTGGTCTCTTCAAGGACATCTTAGGAAGCTGAAAGCCACAGGAAAGAAGGGTACAGCAGCACTGCGGCATACTCTATGGTCATCTTAGCCTTCAATCCCTGAACTATTTCATCTTAGCCTTCAATCCCTGAACTATTTAAGAAGGCTCTGGAACAAAACAGTAGGGTGGGAGGGGTGGAACTGGACTGTTAAGAGCCAAGAATTTTAAGAATGGAAAGAACATGTGAATGATAAGGTAAGATGCACAGATCATCCCAGACACGACATGGAATAAATAAAATGCCCTTACTTCTAAACATACCACTATGATAGTGTGAATTGTAAAGGATTAAAAGGAAAATCTCCAAAGACCCCAGAAAAAGAAGGCAATTGATTGCCTTCCATAGATTCTAATTAGGCTGTAATCTGACTTCTCCACATAGTAGGGGTGGAAGGTGACAGGCAATAACTGACCCCATTAGAAAAGCATTGGCTCCTCCCCTCTCCTTCCGGCCACCCTCCCCTCCCTCAGCCCTTCCCTCCCCTCTCCCCCCCTCTCCCTTCCTTTTCTATGCCTTTTTCAGTCTCCCTTCCCTTCCCTCCCTCTTCGTTAGCTTGCAATCCTTCCAGAAGAGTGGATACAATGAAAACATTTCCATAAAAGAAAACACAATTGTGTCACTCAGTTTCTCATCAAAAGGATTCTTTAAATGTGTGGGAGTTCTTTTTTTTTGTTATTGTTGTTTTCTTTTACCAAAAACAGAAGTGGCCCAAAAGAAAGGAACAAATTTAAGATAAGAAAAGAAAGCTTATGATGAAAATTGCACAAATAAGTTAATAAATTAGACTAACTGTCAGATGGAAAAAAAGGATATGATTTGGGACAAAAACTAAAAGAAATCAAGTTACAATGCACATGCAGTGTAAACGCCAGTGAACTTCGTTAGCCACTGGTGTGTTTGATTTTTTTAAGTGGGCAGAAGATAAAGTTGTTGAACTCTGGTGACCTGAGGAAAGGGTGCCAGGTAGATACAAGCACTATGT